GCCGTGGTATATCCGCTATGCCTTTGTACCTGAAGTTATATGAATTTTCATTAATGTTTATTAAATTATGTAGGAATTCTGGACTTGATTTATTAATTATTTTATAAGTCTTTAATGCCATGGTTCTCATTCTTCTGATTTTTAGTGCTGGTAGTTTAGACTGTTCAAGGAGTGTATCGTAAGAATTTTTGTAGTCATCATAAATGAATCTGAGTGCTCTTTCTTGTATTTTTTCTATTTTCTTTTGTGTTTTGTTCACTGCAGAAGTGCCATGTGAGAGGACAATAGCTGAGGTTTGACAAGATAAATGAGTGGTATATTGTAAGTTTAGAAAGTCTGGTGAGATGAGTGCTGATTCTTTTTAGTACGTTTAGTTGTCGTGCGGCTTTTTTACATATATTTGAAATGTGAGTGTTGAAATCCAGTTTAAAGTCTATTGTTACACCTAGAAGTTTCACATCATCGTCACATTTTATGTTGAATCCATTTAGGTTGAAGACCATATTTTGATTGTCACGGTGTTTTTTACCTATGGCAATTGCCTGAAATTTTTCTGGGTTTGCCTGCATTTTGTTGAAAGAGAACGATGATATAAGAGAGTTACTATCTTTCTCTAAAGGTTTTATTACTGATTCCAAAGTAGTACCTGATTTAGAGAGTGTGTTATCATCAGCATAGTTATATAAATCACAGTGTTTGACAAAAAGAAAGATGTCATTTATGAATACATTAAATAATACAGGGCATAATATAGATCCCTGAGGAACACCTTTATAGATATCTTGCATTTGACTGATACTCTGTCCTATTTTTACACACGGTTTTCTTGTCGTCAGATAACTTTTGAGCAGTTCAAGAGCAGATTGACTAAGCCCATATTTTTCCAATTTACAAAGAAGTGGTGTGATTGATACGGTAAATTAATACGTCACGTGCTATTATTTACGCGGAAATGTTTGGAACACATCAGTGGTGTTTAGGGAAAATGATAAGTTGGAACTCATGACGTTCGAGACCAGAACGTTTTTACAATACACCTTATCGCTATTCCCGCTTGACCCGAGAATCTGTCCCGCTTGAACTTTTGACGTCCTGTATCATTACCTGTTCCCTCTAATCCAAAATATTTGTCTTTTTTCACAACTCTAAACTTTGAGTTTGTATCAATTTCATATTCTCTTATGGCCAGTTGTATTTCAGAGAACGATTTCAATGAAATTTCTGTCATCTTTTAAGTATAAATTAGTTAACTTGTGTATAATGTTCGCTGATATTCAAAATGGCTTCTTAAATTTCCCGCTTTGAATAACATTAATTCTAATACGAAAATAAAATTCGGTATCATTTCCGGAATCTGAGAAGCCTCCATAGGATATAAGGTCCACCTCATACAACAATCACTTTTCAATTGTGGCGTCAGATATTTTCTATTATGACGTCAAAATTGTACGAGAACTTTTGTGATGTCCAGTAATGGCGGACAAATAGCGATAAGGTGTATAGCAACGATATCATCAGCATATACGTTTTTACATTGGTTAACAAATAAGAAAATAGGATCATTTTCATGTATTCTCACAAAGAACCTCCTAATTTCTTTGAACCAAATTATGGCATAACACCACGTTACAAACGAATTGTTGTGTGTTGAAACAAAATTTTCTGTCAAAGGAGGAATTTGTTGATTAAATATTCAAAAATTATATTTTTAAATTCGTAATGTATTATAAATAAAGATATACATACCTATCAAATCAAATTTTGTTGCTAATTATCTTCAGTGACGCTTCTTCAATTCATAACAAGCGCGCTCAAAAAAACAAACTTCCGGTACATTAATACGTCACGTGCTATTATATAAGCCATTGCCTAACCCGACTAATCCAGTCGTTATATTCATTAATGTAGCGATCGATAGTGAGTCGGAATATAACGACTGGATTAGTCGGGTTAGGCAATGGCTTAAATAATAGCACGTGACGTATTAATGTACCGGAAGTTTGTTTGTAACGTGGTGTTATGCCATAATTTGGTTCAAAGAATCTCCCTTAAACCGGACAGATTCTTGACACTGACCGATAGAGGGCGCTGAATCATTCGAGTTAGCTGAGACATGTTTCTTTTAAAAAGTTAAACGTTACCAAACAATCATTGTAAACACATTAAGAGACCATCGAACATATTGACAGACTGGTGGACCTATAGACAGACTGGTGGACCCATAGACAGACAAGTTGACACACACACAAACTGGTAGAACTGTAAACAGGCTGCATGTGGACATGTTAACAGACTGGTGGATCTATAGACAGACTGGCGGACACGAAGATAGACTGGTGAGCATGTTGAATGACTGGTTGGCACATAGACTGGTGGACATGTAGAGAGACTTATGGAGACACACAGACTGGTTGACATGCAGACAGACTTGTGGGCATGTCGACAGAATGATGATTATATACATAATCTGGTGAACATGTAGACCGGTTTGTGGAGAAATACACAGACTGGTGGAAATGTTAACAGACTTCTGGACATGAAGACAGACTAATGGGTATCTAGACAGAAATGAACTTAGATTTGTGGATATGTGATGAAGTCATCATACTATACAGCATGCACACGCCAGCGGACACAAACGGATGCACTAACATAAAGTTCAATGTTTTGATATAGGGTAACTCCTTAAGTAAATTCTATACCGATGTCTTTACCGATGTCAGTTTTTCAGGATGTTAAATATATGAATGAAAGGAAATTCTCAGCATTTCGTATATCAATGGATGACAATTTTATTTAACAATACATCAATTGGTCAAAATATCTTTATGAATATAAAATGAATTTATTTCTGCGGTGAAAGTGTTAATCTCAAAATTTTACAGTAACATTTTATCATCCACAGTAAATATGAATATAGGAACACATTTTCATGTAGGCCATATGAATAAATCGAATTTTTGGACTGAGTCAATATACGTATCGGGATATTTTTTTAATGCAAACGGCACCCCTGTAACAAAATGTAAGTGCCCCACTCCCACTCCCCGACCTCAGACCTTTCTCGTGTCAACAAAACGAACACAATTTGTATCCAACATTTCTTCTATGCAACCCAAGCCGAAAACTGGCATGGGGGAAAAATGGCTATATAACACCGGTTATATGTCAAGAAATCATTGAAGTGTTTTCCTATTAACTTTTTGCTCTCGAACTTTTTAATACAATTGTTTCGAAAAATGAGATGACATTCATATGTTTTTATTTGACATTTTGATAAATGAATGTCAAAAGTTTCAGAAAAGGTATCGCTCAAATGGATTGAAATTATAATTTGGACCAATTTTTGGGACATTTGTGACATATTCATACCCCTTTTTGCCATAACTTGTATCAAATAAATGCAGATTGTTGCCAGGAATACACTAAAAAGAGATAACATTTCACCATTTTAACCTATTGAAGATGCTATATTCATACATATGCATATACATGAGATTTATATGTTTAACAGTAAGCCTTATTTGCTAGAAAGATAGGAAGTGGTTAAAAATTGTGTCAATAACTGTATATTGCTACATAAAGTCAAACGCTGGATATGAAAAGTCCAGCGCCAAAGAAGGAAGTTCAGCGTTGGAGAAGCAATGTCAAGCGATGGAGATGTAAAGCCTAGCTCTGTAGTTCTAAAATCCAGCGGACAGTAATAGTGGACGACTTCTCCAGTGGTGGAACTTTGCTTCTACAGCTCTGAAAGTTTAGATCTACAGAGCTGGACTTTACATCACCTGCGCCGGACTTTACACGTACAGCGCTTGACTTTATATCGACAACCATTGTTTTTATATATTCTGCGTTAGATTTTACGGTGTCATTTTGAATTATGGCAGTTACTATTTTGACGGCACCGGCAAAATAGAAAATATACCATTATGTCGGCTATAGTTAACGATTTTGTTTACAAATAGGCAATTCAAAGAACTGACTATTATTTCAAAATCAAATTTAATTTTAAAAATTATTGATTTTGAAGATAGTATATTTTGTATCAAATTGATATGCTTTGAGATTTTTAACTTTTTCTTTTTTTACAGCATACAGTTTAAAAATCTGAGATTTTATTCTTATGCACACATGTACCATTATAGACTGTGACTGATTTTAGAACTACATGTTTTGATATGATTTCATTGCTACAAATGGATGCTCAATAATTTTATTTTTATTTCTTTTTACAAATTCTTATTTTCACTTTGACTCATCAATGTTTTAAAACGATTATATATATCTCAAACATAGTTACTGTTATCGTATTTAACTATATGAGTAATAATTTGATTCTTTTATGCTGATAATAAACATTTTCGTAGTACTTTTCAAACGCAAATAGCAAAACTCACTCTTAACAAAGAACCGGCAAAATAACAAATTTACTATATTGCCGACGCCGGCAAAATAGCCATTGCTATATATATATATAGAAATATGCTGTTTTGCCGGCTTTATTTCAGATATTTTCTATTTTGCCGGTGCCGTTAAAATAGCCACTGCCTTAAATCATATTGGTCCGAGTAATAAACGAAACAAACTCTCATTTAGTTATCTATTGCATGACACTCTCCTATTTGAAAAAAAAAAAGATTCACAGATTGACAATACATTGACGAAAAGTCGACCTACCCTATCTATATTTTTGATATTTTATACCAGAAAACTTCAACAGGAAGTGCCAGTAAGCTTTTTTCTCGCTTAACCATTTGAGATTTGATGATTTACCAGGGTAAAACTTTCTTCTCCAAACAACATGCTAATGCATATTTATAATTTAGTTTGCTAGTAACACAAAATAATGAAATCTGAATATTGTCAACCCACACAATTCCATGGTTATTTCTTAAATGTTTTGTCATATAACAGAAAGGAGTCAGTGCTCGACATTTACCAGTACGCGTAATGGCCAATCCTTCGTCTCTATTTAATCAATGAGTCGGAAAACGAAATAATTCAAATAGAAATCAATATTTTATTTATAAATGTACAATAATAAAAAAACAAGCCAAACATATTCAAATGCAATCATGAAAAACAAGGGTAATTCAAAAGTAAAGTTAAAAATTAAAATAATTCAGTAACGAATGCGTAATCTGTTTTAGAATTTAGAATTTAGTAAATCGAGTCAAAATAATGCTAAATGTGGTTGCTGTTTGTTAACTCGAGTGGAATATTATGATTCCTACGAGTAATAATCTCAATTGAAAGGGAATTAAAGTGCACGAGTGGCAGCATAACTGCCGGTTCATACTCGCGACGAGTGTGTGTTCTCACCACCACAACAACTGGTGATCAAGTTAAAGAGAAAATCGTATTACTTCCAGAGTTCTTATTATATTTTACAAAGTAATTCACGGCCTCATTGCCATACCATCTGAAATTTTAATACCAATAGACAGTAGAACAAGACAAAACCATCCAAATACTTATAGACATATACGAACCACAAAGGAAACATATAAGTGGTCATTTTTCCCACACACCATCATACAATGGAACATGCTACCTATAGCCACAGTACAGTCAACCACAGTTGACAGTTTCAGAGCACACCTTACACAAGGTGTTCTCTGCCAACTGATTTAAATTTTTGTATATAATTTTTATTTTAATCACTAGTTTTTGTAATATACATGCACAAATTGTCAAATTTGTATATATTTTTTTTGTTCTTTGGCATCTACAAGAAAATTAAATTTTAACACGCATGCGCAACAACAAGTAATCTTCGTGTCCTGAAGTTTTGTTGTATAACTGAAGAAGAAGAAAGAAGTTCATAAGATGAATGTAAGAATAAATTATAAACGAATATTCAATGAATATCAAAGTGATGTAAAAGTTGAACTCCATCTTTAACAGTTAAATCAATAATGCACCCTTATATTCTACTGAGTATATGTTTTAATCAAATTAAACATAAACTGATTTTTAAAGAAAATATTACTGAATTTTAAAAGAGTGACTATCCAGTTCAAATCTACAACATAAGATATCATAATTTCATATAATTTGATACACCAAAGTGTTAGTAAGAAAAAGTGCACACGAATTGAATGTTAATGTTAGTCTGTTCTGATAAGTTGAATGAACGAAGTAATAGATTGGTTGATTGTTGGTTGCTTAACGTCCAGTAGAAAATAGTTCATGCATGTTCCGGACGAATAGAAACCCGGATGCTAACTTGTACGATCAATATTCTTCGATTCCTTCCATTGCTGCCATTAATGCTTGGTTGTACTTGTATCCGCTAATGAAAGCATTTATGACTTGCGGCGTTGAGGGATCGAATCCTATCACATGAAGTGTCTGGTCATCACATGGTTCCACAGCATGCACAGGATCGTTTGGCTTACTAGTCATAGCGACAATGACTCGGACATGGTTTGGTGTACCAACTTTATGACAACAGTGAATAAAAGGCTCCGTAACACGACCTTCTCCTTCTCCTGTAAGAGTATCGGTAAAAAATATAATAACGTCGAAGGAGTTACTGTGGCGTCTTGACCACCTCGTAAAAGGCGTTTGGCGTTCTCCTAAAGATGAAAAGCTATCTAGTTTAGCTTTTATCGAATTAAGATTGTCATCTCGGTTAATACTCGAAACAAACGACTGCTCAGGATTACATTTATTCTCGAAAAGTAAAGTTTCTACACAATTTCCTTGCTTTACGATTGTATGCACCATTGCACAAGTCGCTTCACTGGCCGTTAGTGGAGAGCCAATCAATTTCTTTTTCATACCACCACTTACAGATACAGCTAGAAGGTAACGTTTATCTGTTCTTGGTTGAAGGGCCACAGTATCATCAAAAGCTTTTTCCAGAATCGTAATAATTTCATAGTTTGGTAGCCATTCTAGTTTGCCTTGATCTCCTTTTCCTTCCTTGTATTGCTTTAAGGCAAATAAAATTCTCAATGGATGGACTCCGAAATCCTGTAGCAGTTCACTCTGCATTTTCTCCTTTACAATCTGAATGAAATTAGATGCCTTTGCATCATCAAACAATTTCAGCTGTGTCATTTTGCCCATATTTCTAATCATTGCCGTTGGAGGCATTGTTCGGAGAAGAACTCGCCACACCTCTTTGTCGGACAAAAAACTGTTTGGTACATGCTCTCGTGCTAATTCTTGATCTGCTATTAATTCCATAATCTTCTCCTTGTCGTCGCATTCTTTAGCTTCAATAACGGCTCTTAGAAATGTTTTCACTTCTCTGTGATCTTTGTCAAGGGATTCGTGCAGTGTAACAACGTCGTCCATTTCTTTGTTAACAATAAATTTTAATATTGTTCTGATTCTTTCATTCGTAGGTTTTACATGAGCAAGGCGAACAATATCTCTATGGTTCCATTTACTGCGTTTTTTGTACTTGGTTACTAAGTATGCCAATTTTGGCGCATTGTTCGCAAAATTATTGTACCATTTACTAATGCCCATCCGATGGCTTCTTCCCCACCCTGAATGGTTATTTTTCTGCATATTCAATTCTTCACAAAATTTTTGGAATTCAAATAAATGTGTGGGAATCCGACAAATATTGTTCAACATGTTGTATCCATACTTCTTTACTTCTCGATCTCCATGCACAATGCAAAAGGCATAAGAAAACACAGTAGGCCCTTGTCTACATGCTCTATTACTCTCGCTTACATCCTTGATACAATCTAGTACCTCTATACCTTGTCCACCTTCTATCAACCTGGAATTGACATAAAAAAGTATAACCTAGAAATATAATACTACTTCAATGATGAGACATTCCTCAGAACAAGTATCTAGAAAATTTAAGTCGTACATTGTTCTTTAAAAAGGTTTCTCACATTTTTATGGCAATTCAAAATTTACTACCTGTCACCTTCGAATACTCTTTACAATAACTAACATGCATAGAAATGTTTGGCAATTTTTTTTTAAATTATAGCAATAATGTGGAATTAAAGTCTTAAAAGCTTGTACGGTATGGTTTTCTACAGTAGTTAGTAAAAAAAAATTGACCAGTAAAACAGTTTGGTTTGGGTTCAACAAATTGCAATTAGGTCAGAATATAGATAGAGAGTAATACTTACAGTAAAGTCACACACATGCAGTAATTAGCAGATGAGACTTAAGATTGATTAAGGATGGTTACGGAAGTAAGCCACTGACCCTTTACACATAGCTGGAGCTAGTGAAATTTTAACTGAAAGGTTTTGCTTTTTTTTAAGTGAACCATGAGTACACCACCCAGTAAGGAAGTAGCTAAAATGAACATTTTGTACACTATATAAAGTCTTCAAAGATATGGTGAGTATCAGTACTAGCTCTAAATATTGTCGAGAGTCCAAATACTAGTCAGTAATTTCATTGAAACGATCAATTATTTTTTATACTAGTAGTTTAAAAATACATAAACCATACAATGCATATGTACATCATAAGCAAAAAGCTAAACAGAATGTGAAACGTGTTGACAAGGGCACATTGGTGAACAAGTGAATACTAAAATTATTTGTGGACATATGTGGAGGTAGTATTGTATCGGGTATTTTAAAATACGCTAAAAGAAAATTCACTTCTGTTTATTACTGGGCACTATGCGAGTCTATTCAGATCTATTATAAACATATACATCAAATCATCTCCGTTCCTTGAAGAGAATAAGACCTCTTTGAATATATAAAAGATCTAATAACAGTCTTATGATCATTAAATAATTTAGCCTCTGTGTGAAATTCCACGAGTTTAAACTCGATTAGGACAGTATTTTGTTGTTCATATTAACAAAATGTCTAATAAAGTCAACAATGACTAAAAGTCAAAACTTCCTGCATAAGTTTTCTTGACAATATTTAATGACATCATTTGCTTTACCTTTCGATAAATGGTACATCATTGCGTGAGAATTTTGAGTGTTGAATATTTGTCCTAAAAACACTCTCTTTGCTACCTAAACAAAGAAATCGTCGCAATAAATAAAAATCTGAATTATCCATTTTAACTCTACTTTCGTTTTTAAAAGCACTGAGTAACCGGGACACTAAAAGCCTGAACCTATCCTGTTCAATTTTGTTCCGGTTTCAATATAGTGAATCCCTATGTATATACATGAGGGGGTGACACACTTTTGGGTCTTTTGGGATGTGGCATATAGGGGGTAAAAAAAAGTGGGATCTGGGAAAAAGAAGGAAAAAAAAGAAGGAAGTGGGATATGACCATAATGTGGGATGTGGGATAAACCCACAAAAAAAGAAAAAAAAAGAATGGCGAAAATGCATGAATGTTACCTTGATTTAGAGGGTGTTTAAAAAGTGAACACGCAAAGGATGTCAAAAGCAAATGCTATCGAGTTTATCCAGAAAAATAAAGTAATGCCAATATGTAAAAGCAGTGGCGGATCCAGAAATTTTCACAAGGGTGCCCACTGACTGCCTAAGAGGGGCCGCTCCAGTCATGTTTCAGTGATTCCTTAAATAATCGACCAAATTTTTCCTACAAAAAGGGGGGCTGGGCCCCCTGGCCCCCCTAAATCCGCCTCTGAAAAGGCGTTGTTTTTACTACTAAAATAAATGAATAATGGATTTCGAAGCTAGTCTATTAGTTCCCTTTGTAGTGACTTTCAGATCCGACTTCTTCTATTCGATAAAAAAAACTTATAATTGTTTTGTTATTAATCAGGCCTTTATTATTCTCAATTGAATTGTTTTCATATTTTTTTATGTCGGGGCCTTTTATAGCCGACTATATGGTATCGGTTTTTCTCATTGTTGAAGGCAGTACGGTTGCCTATAATTGCTTACATCCACTTTATTTGAACTCTGGTGGATGGTTGTCTCTTTGGCAATCATACCTCATTTCCTTATTTTTATATAAGTTATCGGATGTCTCTGCGATTCCAACTCTCAGTAGTTCGCCATCACCTATATCCAAATAATTATGGCGTCTTTAAAAGCTATTAAAGGTCTGGTTGTAGTTTAAAAATAGAGAATAAAGTGCAAATAAACTCATCATATAGTTACTAGGATTGAATATTTGTACACCAGACGCGCGTTTCGGCTACAAAAGACTCATCAGTGACGATCGAACTAAAAAGGTTAAAAAGGCCAAATAAAGTACGAAGATGAAGAGCATCGCTCACAAAGGGGAATGAAGAAAAATGCCTCCACCTCCAAAAAAAGAAGAATATATAATGAATAATGGGCCGATGCTAAATTTAGATACATGTATAAAGAATATAGAGAATAGTTGACAGATAAATAAAGAATAGGTCCAAATGGCCTTAATAGTAAATTCAAGAATACTGAAATAAAGAAACATGCCCCCTCCCCAAACATCCCCTCATACTTACATATATATTTGACGTTAGTTAGTTGTGGTAAACAATTTTGAATACTATTTCATATTATATATTGGAACACGAAAGACTTCGAACATCATCCCAAGAAAAAAAAAAGCATTTTAGATATATATATATATATATATTGCTGCTTTTTGTGAGACCTATGTCATGATTTTAGAAAAGTTGTTAATTTCCGCAAGTTTAAAAAAATATTTGAAAGATCGTAAGCGCACAGTTTTTGCAGAGTTTTACCAACTTGGCCACGGTTATATATATACAAATACCTTTTTACACTAATCTTAACTTAAAATGTAAATGCTAGCTTTTACTCCTCACAATTTTATATAAACAGAGTAATTTAGTCAATCACTTATCTTTGATGTTTTGTGCAGTATAAAACATACTTGGTAGTCTTTCTGTAAATAGATATTACTTTTATTAAATATTGTCTGAATGTGTGTACATCAGGGACAAAATATAATATATATAATGCTACACGGCATATGACAAAACGTGTCTAGCTTGCTATGCAAAGCGAGATATCCAAAGCATTTAAAACTTTAAAGACTGTTTAAACGTGATTTGTAATTGTTTAATCTCTTTGCTTCATTTTCATGAGGGGCAGAAACTTTTTAATGTTATTTATTAGCGAGCAACATGGCAGATTTAAATCTCTTGGTTTTTACTTGATATTAATTAGTTAACAACATGACCGGTGCCACTAGTGGAGCAGAATTACTTTACCTCGCAGGAGCATCTGTTCAACGACGCCTGTTTGTGGGGATTTGAGTTTCTCAGTTTTCTGTGTAGTGTTTTGTATGTTGTTGTGTTCATCTTTTTTTCTTTTGGACACGATGTTGTCAGTCTTTTTTTTCAGTTTTTGGTTTTCCATTACTCCCTTAGAATCATCATGTTCCTTATGTATTATGTTTTGTGTATTTGTGAATAAAACCATAATAGTACTGTGTATGCAACTTAATTCTTATGTGAAGTCACATTATTCATTCAAAATTAAAGAACGTAGGTGTACTGTAATTTCATTTCCTGAATAAATAACGAGCTTCTGACAATGGCTGTACAAATATTTATGCTAAAAAAATTGGAGGTATAAAAAGGTCTAGACGACTCATTAAAAAAATGGTGCTCATGATGATTTGTATTCTTTATTACGTAATAGACGACACAATGTCCAAGAAAGGCATATAGTAACTTGACGTTGAGACTACTAAAACACGTGTTACAATAGTGTCAGCTGGACCCCCACCCCTCGAGCCAAAATAAATAGCATGCAGGTAGACCCCAAGTCCAACTTACTGTCCATGGTAGGCTAAATAAATTGGGGGGGGGGGGGGGGGGGGGGGGGGGGGGTCATGGTAAGAAAAGACAAAAATGCTATGTCCGATATTCTTTCCAAAAGTAGCTTAAGGCTCCAAGTTGCACGAATTGCTCACCTTCGATTCTATGGAAGTATTGGTACCAAAATTAATTTTTCACATGAATCAGTAATTATGTTTTTGATGATAAGCCAAGAATGCAAATATTGGTAATATCACCACATATACGACTAAAAAAATGATTAATGCTACTGATTTTATTGGACCATTTTAGATCTTGTCGTGCTGTTCTTATTTAATGCTGACCTACCTCTGTTTATAATTTCAAGATAATAGCCAAAACACATAAACAATTCTTACCTTACTGATTATTGCTGCTTACAATTTTTCCAGGCTATTTTCTACAAATTTCGTCAAAAAAATAGCTAAACACTGTTATTTTTATTTTAGTTTTCGTGATTATAGCTAATACGCTTAAATGGAACAAAAAACTGTTGACACACATATGTGTCTCGTCTGTATTAATAACGATTGTACAAATTCAAATGAAGAAATCAAAATCTATTACTTAACATGTAAATTATGCAAAAAAATCATAGACCACAAACAATGACTGAAACTGCAGGGACAAAACGTCTATCGAAATGAGACTGCAAATAATAGACTATTTTCATATTACCGCCTTTTGACTCCGGATTATATAATTTGTCGACTGGTTACCTTGGACATCATGGTACAAAGTCAGGTAAGAGCAAGCTAAAGAAGTAAAACCAAGCTTTCAATCGGTACAATTTTTGGGGAAAATTACCTTTTTAACATTTTTTTTTCACTACAAAATAATCGGAAAACAGTAAACTTTCCCCGCAAATTACACCGATTATATGTTTGATTTTACTTATTTTGGTTGCTCTTACTTGACCGAGAACCATGATGTCCAAGTAACCAGTCGACAAATAATATAATCCGGAGTCAAAAGTCGGTAATATGAAGATAGTCTATTATACAACTGCATACCAAAATGTCATTGAGTTAGCATTAGGGGTTTATTTTAAACTGACATAAGCATAAACTATTTGAAATATGTTGTAAAAGTTTCAGAGTCAACGTCATATAATCTCCGTCGAATTGAGCCATCCAAATGCACATACAACTGCATATCAAATGTCATTGAATTACCATTAGTGGTTTATAAAAAAACAAACCTAATCCGAAACCTAAACATGTAAACAAAGCAAAAGTTTCGAAGTCAATTAACTATGACTTTGGGCAAATAATTAAGGAAATGAGATGCATCAATGCTAGTACAACTGCATACCAAATGTCATTGAATTAGCACTAGTGGTTCCCCCTAAACTGGCCTAATCACAAAGTTATGCATTGCTGAAACAGATGACGCCTTCAAGACTTTGTCGAGTTGAGACAAAAACCACCTATAAGGGCAGGTAATCATACAAGTAGTCAATTGTCTATTTTGGTTATTTCAATCATTTGTAGATTGTGTAAGACTGCTGATCCTTTTTGCTGACTTCAAGTTTCTACAAAAATGGAAAATTGAGTGAAATTGTCATTATATGCAATATCTCCTAACAACTTGGGACGTGTTGGCAGTTGTAGATCTTGTTTAGCAGATAATAATAAGTCACTCTATCTATTATAGTTTTCAAGATTTTAGAGAAAAAAACACCAAAAATTGGTAAAAATCATCCCTAACTCTTTAAGGAGTCTTCTAACAATTTTCTTTAAAAATGGACACTAGGTAGATCTTGACATTCCTAACATTTTCCCTATCTATAACATTTTTCAAAATATTAAAAGATTATTTGTGATTTATCTGAATGTTCTCTTTTGAGCCTTTGCACCTTGTTGGTTGGCAGAATGGATCATGAGACATATTTTCAAACAAGATATTTTGAAGAATGATTGTGGCAAAGTTTTGTTCCAATTGGCCAAAAGTGAAATTTAAGTGGAAAATGGACAGAATTATGATAGACGACATGTGATGGCAATAGTCCATACTGATATTTTGGGATGGCAGAGATATTGATCAAATGTAATTAAAACAAAACATACCCACACTCTTAAATCAAAGTAATGAAAAATAGGAAGGAGGAATTGCTAGATCTAAAAAGCACTCACATTGTTACAACTCATCAATGTGAAAATACTGACCAAATATGAAGTTATTCTGTTCAGTAGCTACCATAGAAATGTGGGATGACGTTTTATGATCATTCAACTCATCAGCAAACTGGAAGCAGATATTTCACAGATCTTGTAAGGATCACACATTACAAGTCACCATAGTCAAGCTGCTGACCAAAATATGAAGTCATTCTGTTTAGTTGAACCTGAGAAAAGTGTGATGAAAATTTTGTTAGATGAACAAAATTACTTTTAATAATCTAATTGAGTATGTGTGTATTTGTTTCAGGTATTGCACTGCAACTTGTCTGCAGATTGCTCTGTTTAAGTTGTTTAGGGATTATATTTACTGTATAAATCAATACTTTGAAAACAAACATTTGTCACTTTTATGTTTTATTTCTAATTTTCTTTTAACAACAGAGGGGCTTATGGTAGAGTGCTTTGCTAGAGTGCAGGTCAAGCAAATGACTTGAAAATTTGTAGTTGCTGCTTCTACATTATGCATGCAGCATTAAGGAGTAAGAGCAAAGACATGTCAGCTACGAGTCAGAATAATGTGTCCAGGTAAGGTGACATGTCCACCTGTAGACTGTTAAATTTTGAACTAGCATGTTAAAAATCAAGCTCAGCAAGTCTGTCTAATACAAAATAGGGTTAATCTGGGCAAACATGATTTATTTATAAGTTGTTATTGTCTTTGAACTAGCTTTCAATAAATGTGAGTGCCAATCTGATGAGTCAAGCATTTTCCAACTGATTTTTACATTTGTTTTTATGTTGTGCTGTTACACCATTGTCCCTGGTTAGGGAGAGGGTTGAGCTACCACAAAAAAAAAACCTACCACATTTAGTAATTGCCTGCCCAAGTTAGGAGTCTGTAATACAGCAGTTCTTGTTGGTTGCTGTCTATTATTTCGGTTTCTGGTTTATTGATTTGTCATAAATCAGGTCGTTGGTTTTTTCTTTTGAATTGTTTCATATTTTGTTATGTCTGGGTCTTTTAAAGCTGACTATATGGTATGGGTTTTTCTAATTATTGAAGACAGTACACTGATTTACAATTGCTTAAATCCATGTAATTTAGACTCTGTTGGATAGTTATGTCATTTGCAATCATACCACATCTCCTTCTTGTTTTTATTCATATTCACATGTTCTTGTCTTGATATGCATGTAATTATTGCCACTGCACATTTAACACACATCCAATTTTTGTTTTTTGTTGTTATGGAACATGTATATTTAAAATTGATCAAATAAATAACATAATATTAACATGTTTATAACCTTTTAATGATTCTCACAATCAACAGCTGTCAACATCATACCATATGATAATAACCATGGAAACTAAATATTGCACACATTTTTTTTTCAATCCTATATCATAAACAAATAACAATGTTATATATATAGATATGTTGTCATGACAACAGTCAACAAGACTATTGAATCAAATACATTAAACATGGAATATTGTAGCAATGACCTTGATATTTGGAAGTGAATCAATCTACATTATATTTCTTCAAACTTCATCCACGCCATTTTATCTTTAAATAGGCCATTAAACATGCCTACGTACCTTCCGTAACTTCTTTAAAAAGAATCAACAATATTCTAAGACAAACCTATACATTTCCCTATAAAAGAAAAGGACAGAGTGCAAATAGCTTTATTTAGCCTAACTTTTCACTTAAATTCAAAACTTATGTCAATTTCAATGTTGAAATAATACAAACCTAGTAGTTATGTCAGAAATGCTACTTTTAGTGTCTGTGTAAAAATACATGGATCTTATTAGGTTAATTTAACAAATATTTACTTGGTTCTTGCAAGCACTCAATATTTCTCACTTACAAATATGTCTCGAAAACCATGCATCTTTCTTTTAAAAACAAATTAAATTTATCCCATCTTTCGTCCCTCCAATTTAGGTGAATGTTTGCAATATCTTATAATTCAAACTTTGCAAATACCTTTAAATTATTTTGAGTAAAAATCTCATGATTCTGTAATACTTTCATTTTTAAGTCAAATAGGGCCCTTAGCACATGTCTTCCTTTCTTTGAAATATGAGTCAAACTATAGTTCACTATTAAACTACCATTCAAATGAAACAATTCTTCCTGTTAGCTTTCTGACTACACACTCCATTACACTTCTTTCATACAAAAGATAGCCACATAAAACATTTAAAACAAAAATTTAAGACATTTTTACTGTAAAAATGAATATATTGACTATTTAAAATGGAATCAGAAATCACTACATGTCTTAACCTTGTATTATGAAATGTTATTATGTCATTTAAATGGTTAAAAAGTTTATTGGCTTAGCTTCTGTGTTAAGTGTGAATGTTTCTAGCAACCATTTTTTTGTGAACAACAATAATATCACTATTTAATTTATAATTTTTTTAACACCATACATAATGTCTTTAATGTACATGTAGTTGGATGTCCTGCATAGATCATACTTTATCCTAAAATAAAGTCAAATTCCTTGTAAATTGAGAAAATTTTCTGTATCCATTATTCAAGTTTTACACATTTTTTAGTTCATAGTATATTAGAGGTTATCTCCCTTACAATAGCATTTTTTTTTTGTGTTTATTCGATAACTTGGAAAAAAAAATCAAGTACTACAGGAAAAAACAAATATAAATTTTTCTAGCAGACTCATTATCATAGTGATTTACTTATTTTGTATTAGGGGTCTATATGGTTTCACATATATGTCTTGACAACAAAATTAATGTTGCAAGAATAATCAATTGGTATCTCCCCTTTGCTGCTAGTTTGCAGCAAATCTTGAACATTTGCGTCTTTTACCTATATATAGTGATACACAGTATCCTTCATTGTAAGATTGTAACAAAAACAAGCTCTTCAAACATATTTGAAAAGTTGAAAATGGAATGATCTTATTTGTAACATAAGTTATAATATCATAATACTACAATTAAATGGATTTCTCTTCATTTTTCATGAGCATTTTGAGGTCATAAGGTCAATGTAAATAACTTTGTAGATATTAAAACAATAGCACATATGATCTATAATATTATTGCTAACAGTATGCCTATGCCAACAGTTTATATGTTTGACATAATAATAATAAGCTATATGCATTAACTTTACTAGCAGTCAGCTTAAATATATTGCCTTCTAATGTGTCTTTGGAAACTGGAGAGAAAGTTAAGAACAACTTGGTCAACTAAGTGTTTAGATAATGTTAATACTTAAGAAAGAAGCCATCATACCTTCCTATTTTGTTATTGCCTGTTTATTCTAACATCTGCATTTTCCACTGTCTTCTCTTTTCAATTTTAAATAATAAATTATGTTTTTAAAAGTGAAAATTTAAGTATGTTATGAAGTCAAAATATAGTGCAATTGATTGAATCAACGAAACTTCAAAATAATGTATTACAAAAATGACTTTTATCTGATCATACATACACTTAACATTAAATAAATCAAGCCACAATAATATCAGGTATCTCATTCATATATTTGTACCTGTGTTTAAAAAACTAAAAACACCAACAACCAATACAAATTCTTCTAAATAATGCATTTATGCATGCACTTTGCAAAGACCATTTTGCTCAAACATAAAAAAATGTCATTTAACAATGATAGATCCATTAATATGGTCTAAGAGTGTATAAACTCAAATCATTAATTAAAATCTTTGGTAACAGTGTTGTTTGATTCCTTCAGATTAAAGAACTTTGCATAGATACATTGAATTACATTGAATTACCATGAAAATTACATTTGTGTACTACTTGTCATTTCCTTTACACTGTACATTAAATTGGATAAAATTATGTTTTTTTTTCTAAAACAATCAAGGCTAATCTAATTCATCTGTCCAAGACATGAATAAAATAGAAGTGTGGTTTAAGCCAATGACAGCAAACCAACAAAGGCATCTAGGTGTGTTATAATTTTGGAGATTAGTCTTTAATTATAATATCTCTAATACAATAAATTGTATCATTGTTCAAAGCCAGAAGTGAAATGTTGTACATGTTTTACAATTCCCCCCCTCCCCCCCACCAAAAATGTATATTACATTTTGAAGACTATTATTGGAATAGTCCAAAGCTTCATCTTTAAATCACAAAGTATAGTTTCTTATGAGTATCAATTTAATTTGTCAGTGAGATTCATATTGTTAACATTATTTTAAGACATTTGCAAGTCAAAACCCATTCAATGATGCAAAAGCTTTAGCTAAAGTATAAAATGGGACTTTCTTTCAATAAATTGCATAGTGAATCTGTATAATTATCTCATTTTTTTAAATATCATATTTCATTTCAATGGTTTCTTCCAATTTTTTTTAAAGAATTTTTTTAAATTATCCAAAGTTCCATTTCAGGAATACAAAATTTCATCCATCTTCAAACATGGCATTTAAAATCTGTTTGGATAAATCAGATTTCTGTAAAATTTTTCTTGGTTCCTTTTTTTTAAAATTTAAATGAATGTGAAGTAAAAAAAAAACTGATAAGATTTTTTAACACAAAAGCATACATTATTTAATAAGGCAAGTTGTCGCATAGCTTTTGATTGTCTGATCAGAATTTATTCAATTTTACAAAGGTTATTAAATTACAAGTGCCTTTATCTAGAATTTAAGATGTTTTAATATCTAAAAAAAAAATGGCAGAGTGCAAAATTCATTGATTATTTTTCAGTGTTGCAAACTATATTAAGCAAATCACTACTGCTTTCACAGTCAAGTTAGTGGGCAATCATCTTAGGTTTAACAGTCAATTTAGTGACCAATTATCTTTGCTTTCATTCAAGCTAGTAACCAATCATCTTTGCTTAACAGTCAAGTTAGTGACTAATTATCTTTGCTTTCTTTCAAGCTAGTGACCAATCATCTTTGCTTTCACAGTCAAGATAGCGACCAATCATCTTTGCTTTAAGAGCCATGTTTGGTGATTCATTGCTTGAACAATCCAGTTTTGACACCCCTTTCTGTTGTTATGTTGTAATAGTAAAGTTTTCACTAATAATCTATTTATATTCACTATCATTTCAAAACCTAACTATAACAGAAAACAAATTAATGAAACAAATAAAAAACCGTCCACACCTGTTTTTTTAATTTGATATTATGACTAGTAGAAGTTTAAATGTATGTTTCCAGACCCTTAAAAAAAATCAATGAAAAGCAAGGAATAATTCATGAAATCAAAAAAAAAAGTTTTTTAAAATCATATCTGTTTATAGCATATACATTTGTATACAGGTATAAATAAATGTTGACTATTCACTATTAGTATCAAACATCCAAGGCCAACAAAAACAAATTAACAATAACATTACAAAAAATACAACACGTTGCTTATTATTTCTATTAAAAAAATTATGTTCCTGAACAAAGCAATAAATATCAAGATTTTCATTGCTAAGTCACGTGTTAGCAAAAGCAAAAAGTTATCATCAAACATTACAATTAGTTGTCTCCCTTACTCTACTCTGACTAGAATTTGAAAATGTGAGTGCCCTAGGTTTTTTCAATTTTTAAAAATCATTGAAAAAAGTCATTTTATACATTTGTTGTCAGCACAATTTCTTATTACAATCCCCCTAACCTATATTCAATACACACAAAATCACATAAAGAATAAAGCACTATAAGGTCTAGCACTGGACCAAGTAAACATACTTGTTAGGTCATTAAAACCAATTTAATAAAATAATTAGGCCAACTTTTCTATTATTTTCACGTATTTAACAATCATGTGAAGAATTAAGCAGGTGTCAGGACTGTGGACTGACCTGAATTTTCAACCATGACAATAGGTGTTAAAAACTTAATAAAATTGTTCATGTGGATTTTTTCATAAAAAATGAAAATTAGGTTTAATACCAATTAAGACACTGAAGTAAAACCCCTGAAGAGGAATAATTTGGTACTGACTATTGCATAGTTAAACTTTTACTTAATCAACAGTTTCTTGAGTTGAACTGCCCTCTAAATGTGTTTCAACATTTTATAAAATTGTTTTACAAAATATAATACAGAATTCATTTTAACATTGCAATGTATGAGCAAATCTTAATTAAGATTAATGAGAAATATTTCCAGACAGAATAATAAATGAGGTCTAAAATTTACATCCTATTCAGTCAGTAAATGTACTTTGGAAAATGAATTTCTGATAGGACATTGCTAAAAACTTTTTGTTTTAGAGAGTAGCTATAAAGGCCGTTCACATTTACAGAAAGCTCAACATACTCAACCTGATAATACAAAATAATGCAGTAGTCCTACACTCTAATAGATTAGGAAGTTATTTTAAAGGTAATAAAGAATTTTTCGTACAAGAGATATAGTGATTGTTAAACCTTTAATTTCACTCGATGTGAAATATAATCTAAGATAATTAAAGATTAATTGATTCTCAACTGATAATAACTAGCATCTGTCACCAATCAATTTGTTTTTTTTATTTGAAACCTTATTAAAACATCTGCTTCGATTATCAGGATTCCTATAATAGATTATATGATGACAATGATGAAATTTCTTATGTAAAATATGTGTAAAAGTTAGAGCAAATAAAAACTGTGTATTGAAAATTAATTCAAAATAAGCAACAAAAAAGATCTGACTGAAATAAAAATTTGAAGGTAGACTTTCTACACAAGCTTTTAAAGTACATAGACTACAATATCTGAGATCCAACAACATCTATTACATTTGGATTTGGCTGTTTTTGACACATCACAGAAGAAATCAGCACTCCAAACATTCATGCCTCCAACATTCTCTCGCCCTTCATACAATTCATGCTACGATCGTGTAACTTCACTGGTTTCCTTATCATCATTCTGATTAGGGTCGGGTAACTGTTTGACTAAAGCTTCTAGAAGATCCTGAAGGACTTCTGTTTCCTTGTCTTCCATTAAGTCAAATTTAATGTTAAACACCATAAAGTGTGTGAACAAACTATTTAAATGTCCGTGTATTCCTAATGTTACACAGTCTGAGTAATGTGCGTGGTACATGTGTGCTAACACATGGAATAATAGTCTATGACACTTTTTGGTCGTTGCTTCTAAACTATTTGGAAATGGCTGACCTGAAAACACAATGAAACATGTTCATCTTTATAATAACATAATTATTCAAAGACAGATTTTCAAAGTTTATAAGAACAAGGAGCTGTGGTATGATTGCAAATGAGACAACCATCCACCAGAGTTCAAATGAAGTGGATGTAAGCAATTATAGGCAACTGTACGGCCTTCAACCGTGAGAAAAACTCATACTGTATAGTCGGTTATAAAAGGCACAGAAATGACAAATGTGAAACAATTCAAACAAGAAAACTTATGGCCTAAATTATAACAAAACAATTTACGAAAAAAAAACCAAATATAATTGTCAATTTCCTCCAACTGAAATGACTAAGCAAATATATTTTATCAAATATGGTTACGGTAGGTAATCTGAAGCAGTGTACCCCTTGTTAGAATGAAATTAAGATAATATTTTTCAGTACAGGTAATGTCTCTTTCCTAGAAAGTTGCACATTTAAATGATTATTCAAGATTTATCCTCCCACTTGATAAGAGGAAATTTAACCTCAAATACTGTAATCTGGGAAGTTATTTAAATTTCTTGAACTTCTAAGAAATGAGACTGACTTTGAAAATTAACAGTTTCTTAAAATTTTAGTTAAAACAACAATAAAAGCATGTCTGCTAAAAGTACTTTAAGGTCTGCTTAACAAGGATCGTTTTCTAGACACACTCATAGATGTAATAGATGACAGCAAGCATACATTATTTACCTGACAGGTTCAAAAATGAATCAATAATCATTTGTTTACATTCTCAAACTTCAAATGCAGATGTGTAATCAATATAAGCAATTACAACATAAAGTACATATTGGACACTAAATCAATATAATTTGTCCTTCAGATATTTATTAATACTTGTACTAAATCTAGGAATAAATGCTGATTATGCAATTTCTTACAGTTTTATTGATATGTATAAGGATTGCCTGGCATATTTTGTTTTGCATCATTCAACAATTGTTTGTCTGCTTTTGTTACCTAATGAAACTGCAAGCAAATTATCACACTTTTGTATTTTCATGTTCAGTAAGCTGCGAAAATTTGGGTGAAAACCCTAATTTTGCATATACTTAAAAAAGAAATTATTCACATCATCATGAATATGTTTACTACGTTTCAATTTGATTTCACCATAACTTTGTGTAAACTACCTAAAACCATAACCTGTAACAGGACGGATGAATGGACACACAGATTAATAAATAATGTCACCCTACTGTCGTAGGAAGGGCATAATAATTATCCTACTGCTTTCATCAAATTAATATAAACCAGATAAAAACTGACTTTTAAGCAAATAGCTTGTGGCATTGTCTATCTTAAGGAGACAATATTTCTGTGAGAGTTTGATTAAGAAAGTCAAAAACACTAAGTACCTTTAAAAGTAATAAGTCATTACTTATATTTAAATGAGTTTACATTATGCAACACTTGTTTGTTGACAAATCACTAGACTTTAATGTTCCTACAAACAAGTTAATAGTAAGCTCCAAATATAACTTCAGGAGACTTCAAAAAACAATTTTTACATCATTTTCCTTTCAATCTTTCATATTTCAGGTAAAAAAATAAAAATACATAAATTATACTAAATTTGTTTGAATAAATTGAATTTCATATCCTTTAAAAATGGAGCCAAATAATTTCAAAGCAGATCAAAGTTAAAAATATTTATAGTGATTACGTCTCATCAGGCTATATATATAGTTATTACTATTTTATTTATACAAATATATACATGTATATCGGAAACAAATAGAGCCAAACAAAAATATTCAATATTCATCACCATATGTCTTCCTATGAGGTGATTTATGCTAACCAATCAATGCTGTTCATACTATAGCTGGCCAAGTCTCTAGTACAAACAAATAAGACATGAGTTTATATGAAACAAATGAGTTTGAAATTGTTTGTTGATATTGTGGATTAACCTTGAACAGATTTTCAGAAACTAACATTGCACTTTAAAAACTAGTCCAAGGGATTGGGTCTTTTTGAAAAAATATTTGAAATTTAGAATTTTTAATCTGATAATGAAAATTTACAACCACAGCTTAGTGTTAAAGACAGGAAGAAGCACTTTGAAATGTTGAATTTTGTTGAACATGTGTTCTATTTAAAGGACAAGGAATGTTTAAACATTCAAATTCAACTTTTTAAGAGTCCCTGGTAAATATGGATTAATATGAATCAGTGGTTGTGGTTTGTTGATGTGGTTCTTAAGTGTTTCTCGTTTTTTATATAGATTAGATCGTTGGTTTTCCTGTTTGAATTGTTTTACACTAGTCATTTTGGGGCCCTTTATTGCTTGCTGTTCGGTGTGAGTCAAGGCTCCGTGTTGAAGGCCGTACTTTGACCTATAATTGTTTACTTTTTCCACATTGTGACTTGGATGGAGAGTTGTCTCATTGGCACTCATACCACATTTTCTTATTTCTATAAACCTCAATTTTAACAACATTTTGCAACCATGGTTATACAAGAAATGTGAAAATTAGTAATCATTTTTCTGAAAAGACCAGTTTCAATGCCATGCATCCTATATCTAATTTTTCCCATCCCCCATTTGTAGATTATGATCCTTATCCTTTACACACATATGAAGAACCAAATCATTGGTTTTCATTGTTTATTGGTACATTTCAAAGCTACAAGTTATAAATTATAATCACGGTCTCTAGGAAGTACATTGATACCAATATTTGATTTAATTAGTAACCAAAAACAAAATTTAAGTGGTTCTCAAAAAACATTGGACTAAATAAATTGAATGATTAGCTGTAGTACTGATTCACCTTAAGATTTAAATAAAAGCTTGCATGCAGGAATAAATATTAACAATTGATCAATCAGACGCATCAGAATTAGTTTTGGCAATTTGTTTTATGCTGACTTTATGAATGGAATAAAACTAGACATCCCACATATAGGTGGGCATTGGATTTTCCATTAAACATGAAAACAGATTCTTTTTTATAACAGGGACGTTATTGTTTCATTCCAATTCAATCACTATATATTCATTTTAAAGGACAAATTATTTAAATTTGTTTTAAAAATAAAAAAAAAATTTGCATCATTTTAAAAATAAAAGCTGTTATATGCTTGAATTTGAGTACTGTAACGTTTCAAACTTTCTATTACATGTAGTTGGAACGATAGGTCTCAATAAATTGTTGACACAAAAATATGCCTTGACCAATTGGAAAATACTCTCCATTAAATTGAGATATGCCAATGCTGATACAACTAAATACCAAATATTATTGGCTAACCAAAAGTTTTCCCCTTTTAAAAACTGACCTAATTACAAACCTTAACTTGTTAACTGTGCAAAAGTTTTAAAGTCAATGGAGCATGAATGAGGGGTTGTAGCCAAATAATCTCCATGGAAATGAAATGTGCCAATGCTTATACAACTGCATACCAAAGCGTTTAACTTAACATTGATGATTTCCCTTAAACTGACCAAATCACAACATTAATGATTTCCCTTAAACTGACCAAATCACAAACTGAACAAATTGTTGACTCAGCCAACACTGACACTGAAAGCACCATGCGTCACAGGCAAAACAAACAGTGATTTTAAATTTGATTTTTGAATAACGAAAAGTTAAACTTAAAGTTACTGTTGATATGTTACTGAAAAGAATGCCATTTAATACCTGAATATCTTAATGCAGTTTAAATTTAAATTTTAAATACATATTTAATCCACATATTTGGTTGGACACAATTAAGATAGTATTATTGTAAGTTCCTTAACTATTACAGAAATAAAGCAGTGCCTTATTTTCACCTTTAAAAATTCATATTTAAAATTTAGTTTAATAGAGATGAAGTTTCCGTGGATATATTATTATGTTTTATATATTTCCAATTAAAACGTTCCAATAAATACTTCCTTTCGCCTTATTAATCTAAGTGCATATAGTGCAATAGTTCCTTTTAGATTTTAAAAGACAACATTTTTTTTTTGTAAAGTGCAATTTATCAACATTTTTTGTGATTTTGCATGTAAACTGTCTCATGTTTTATGTAAATGTTTCACAGTAATAAATGTATACATGTTTTTGGTCTGGCATTTTATTGTTTTTTCTTCTTAAAAAAAATCTTTGATCATTCAAACCCGACTTCTAACCTGACCATGGGCAATATATAAAAAAAAATCTGATTAATATTCACAACATGACCTACTATAAATCCAGCACAAATTTGAAAAGACTTAAAGCTCTTGTCCTTGTTCTACTTTTCAAAACCTTGAGTATATAATGAAAACCTCCTAGTTTCTCACTTACATTCAAACTATGTTTTCAGTAGCAATACCAACTGAAATTATAGAATATTGCCTTATTCAAAAGTAATTTTTCACTGTAATTGATTAGTGAATTGTTGATTAAAATCTACTTATTCATTATGGTAAGGACAGAAAAGGTGTAAATAAAAATCAAAGGTGAACATCAGCTGATTTACCTGAAGACACCTGTGTTTATTGATTTTGTAAACTTCAGATTTTTATTCTGCTTTGCTTATCTCTCTCTCTTTCCAAAAATAGTCATATAAAGAAGTTTCTCATGAATCTACCTCAATATAAAGATTACAGGCCTAATTCTGTTATCATTTGCTTGTAAGTTTGTATAAATAAGGATATAAGATAGACTTTTTTCAAACTTTCCAATATTAAGTATGCCTTGGGTGTTTGAAAATAAATTTGAAACAACATTTTAATCAAACTTCAAAACACTGAATGTATACATATTACCTGAGCCTACAATAAAAACCAGATTTATATAGATATCAGAAACCCGGTCACTTAATTTCTCTATTTATATAAAACTTTATGTCACAATTTAACAACAGAGAAATAAACAAATTCATCCATATCCTTTAGTCTCTGGTGGATAGTTGTCTCATTTTGTTGATCATACCACAAATCCTTATTTTTATATTCATCTTAGCCCAAAATTAAAATTACCTATCACTTACAAATATTTCCAAAATTTTAGAATTTAGTACTGAATTCTTTTCTTGGTGTTGCAAGATATTCTGAGATATTCATCAAGTTTAAGTAATAGACATAAGTGTTCGATCTGTGATAGGATTAAGCACCATTTTTACCAGAGTCTATCGATGTGTATAACTGGATCAATTCACTCATCAAGGAATAAAAGTCAGGACTATAATGTTAAGTTTGTGATGTGTAAACTGGACCAATTCACTGATAATAAGTAAAGATTTTGAGTTAATTGTTCTGGAATTTACTGTTGATAAACTGCAGAAAATGTGTTATCCTTATACTTCTTGTGATTTCATTTTTTTAACAAACATCCCTTGTAAATGATGTTTTCATGCTTTATACGTGTAATGTGACTCTAAGCAGCCATGTTGTTTATATTGGTAACAAAAGTAGTCCAGTGAACATGGTCAAATAAACAATAAACCGCAAAAAAAAAAAAAACACTACCAGAACGTTTTCACGAATCATAGTAAAGCATTTCTAATTATGCAAATGATTTAATACTTATAATGCAGTAAACCTACCGAATTTTGTTGGATATAATGACTCGTCTGAGATTTGTTTCTGTACATATGTTGTTAAATAATCTACATACTGAGGTGCTGTATTTTTGTACTTTTTACCTTTATCATCATACCATAAAAATTGCCTGAAAGAAAAGAGTGTGTACATATTTATATATTTAATTCAGTTGTCTTTATAGAACTTACATTTCCCCTAGATTTATATACATCCCTTTTCTCTCACTAGATTTCACCAAAACTTAAACTGTCTCACTACAAAAACAGAACCTGCTTACGTAACCTTTACAGTGCAAATATGTTCGTTTTATTACTACATGTTTTCAAACAATATTTAAAGCTTTTGTTATCGTTTGCTGTATAAGCTACAGAGCATTTATATACTATAACTCCTAGTTATCAGTGTACTACACTTACATGTGTATAGTCAGTACAATGTTTTTTATGCTGTTACTTCTGTTTACAGAGTGCTTTATGCTGTGAAATCTGTTGACATAGCATTTTTTGCTGTTACTTCTGTTTACAGAGTGCTATATGTTGTAAAATCTGTTAACATGGTATTTTATGCTGTTACTTCTGTTTACAGAGCGCTTTACAGAGCACTTTATGTTGTAAAATCTGTTGACATAGTATTTTATGCTGTTACTTCTGTTTACAGAGCACTTTATGTTGTAAAATCTGTTGACATATTATTTCATGCTGTTATTTCTGTTTACAGAGTGCTTTCTGTTATGAAATCTGTTGACATAGTATTTTATGCTGTTACTTCTGTTTACAATGTGTTATATGCTTTACGAGTGAGTGTACATTAATTTCACTCCATGTTTTGCCCTGAATCAGTTTTATGTAAATAGTTGTATATATGTGGCATTTTAATCAATACAATATGTTTGAAAGCCTTTTTTGGCTCAACAATTAATTATTATATGAACCATTTAAATAAACAGAAATACATATAATGTATACAAATTATTTTTAAAACTTCAAAGTATAAACTTAAAAGCTTAAATTGTAAATTCGGTCAATTTCCACTTTACTAAACTTGTGAGAAATGACAATTACAGTTTGAAGTGAATACAAATGATTTTGTATGCTCATCTGTCACATTAAAGTTGTATTTTTAACTTACACATTTCCTGGGCCTGTCATTGAGGGACAAGATTCCGATGTACAGTATTCCGAGATCACACCATACATTAAATTGACATGGTTGAAAAATGAGATCGCTGCAAGAAAATAAGAAAAATAAGAAAATGATGGTAAAGTTAATAATAGCAAACTAGTTGTAATAAATTTGTCATTTGTCCTTGCTTACTTGGCAAGGTCATATTTTTATGACTGAATCCCAGTTCATAAATAGTAACATTTATATGACTTGACATGGAAAGCTGTATCATTTTTATGGTCACTAACCAAAGATGGATGAATTCAGTTATAGACATATATATACAGCTAATTAATTATCACATCTCTTTGATATCAAAATCCTGCTGAGCAAGCAGAAATCATAAATGTTTGACTAAAGGATTTATATATGGTACAACATGTTTGAATCAATGTTATTTTATTCTTATTCATGAGTATATGCTTGTAATTAGGATCAAAACAACTTATTGTACATTAATGTCTTGGAAATAACACATAAGCAGTAATTCTTTTTTTTTGTCTTGCAAATTAACAATTAATTCTTTAATTGTTCAATTCAAGCAGGTATATTTTGTGCAGACCAGAAACGTATGTACAGAATTTAAAAAAATAAGTGAAACATTTTCATTTATGAAAACAATATGTCATCCATGTGCTGTTGTATATCATCAAGGATTTGTATAGTAAGACTACACAAATCCTTGATATCATACAAAATAATTTACTAGTGGACAGATTTACATAATACACTTCCTTTCTTTTTTGTATATCTTTACTGTGTACTGCTGAGTGTTCATGTACTTATACAATCTGTTTGTTTTGTGAAAGTAAACAGCAAATGTTTGAATCATTTTCAAGGTTATATTGTATTATCCATCCTTTAATATATTTTTTTTTACTTTAAAATGATAAAATCTAACATCATGCTTTATTATTATCATTCTTCTTCAAAGTACAAAGAATTGAAAAATCATCATAAAATCTTGAATTTCATCAACATATCACCTTGTACCTGGTACAAAATATCTTTAGAGAAGTGAAATAAAACTTTAAATGACTAAGCTAATTCTCGAAACTTCATACTACTGATTATTACATTTAACAGCTTTATGTTTCCAGTTAACAAAGCTAATTTTCTTTTTCTAAAAAATGCCTCTATGTGGTCGGACTAAAAACATAAAATGGCAATAATTTCTTAATTCTGCAATATCATAGTACATAAAATTAAAGCAGTGATACGGGTGGTAACAAATATTTTTTTTGTTGTTCTGTTGAAAAAAATATATCAAGAATTGGAGTGCATTAACCATCTGTATTCTATAATCTAAATCAATATCAAATTTAGTTCTTTATTAAATTTTATGTCAAGCTGCCCAGACACTCTAAAACACAATACATAAATAAGACAATTCCTTATTTTGAACTTATCTCTATAATGCATGTTGACAATCTTTTATTTATATCTCAGTCATAAACAATCAAATCAACCAATCAATGGTGGTTATTAACCATAGTGTACATTATCAATCACATTGATGTCAAATGCCTATTTTGTACTTTATGTAGTTATTTAATTACAGAATACAAATAATTTCTCAACAATCAACCAATTAGGGTCATTTAACCCTAATAGATGAAGAGAGAGTTATTCCCCTTATTCCATAAAAATTTTCATGTTGCTTGGACAGGAATTTTTTGCATATATTTTGTTAAAACTATTTAAAAACTTTCTCAGACTTTATAAAAACCAAATATATAGCAAGTTCCATTGTCAAAAATATGTTCCATAGGGAGAGACAAATCTTGTATATCTAATGTGAGATATCATTTAAAATTGTAAATTGGAACATCAGTTTTATGTTCAATGAGAAAGGGCAAAACTACCTTCTGACCCATGCATATTATTTCTGGACCAACCCATACTATCTTGATACACTTCACAAAAATAATAAGATGTTTTTGGAATGATTTGATGCTACACAATTTCACACGAAAAAAACCCCAAAGAAATGAAAACCTAAGTACAAGAGCTTGTTCACAATATCTGCAATATGTCCATAGACAGTACTTACAAACTTTTGATATTTTTATTAAAGAAAACATTTGTAGCTTCAAAAATTTCTATGATTATTGTTGAAATTTTGAACCATGAAAAACCTTAAATCCTATAGATGACTGTTAACTTCTTTGATAAATAATAAGTATTTATTATTCATGGCAGGAGGATCTTTTGTATCATAATTGGATTGTTGGAAACACAGAGCGTTTAAGATTCAAGTACCGTTTATTTTTGTGTGTTTTTATTTCATTTGTTTATTTATTTTTGTTTTAGAGTGTTAAGGATATTTTACTAGACCAAATATTTGTTTAAATCTATCTCAATTTAAAATAACATATACATAAGAAATAGTTTCTTGGTTCAGAATTAGTCAACCTTCACTGGTTAACTGTTTTGTTTGTCTGTTTGTCTTTTTCTTTTTTAGCCATGGCGTTGTCAGTTTATTTTTGAATTATGCGTTTGAATGTCCCTTTGGTATCTTTCGCCTATCTTTCACAGACTAACAGTAGAAAGTGGCAACAAGACAAAGGATAAAATAACCCACACACTAACTTCATTAAAAAGCAATGATTGTTCCTAATGTTATTCTACTGAACATAACAGAATCATTCAATAACTATCTATATGATCTTCAGGAAATCATCAGGTTTAATTGATTCTCTTATTGTGTGAAATTCTGACCACTCCAAAGAGAAGGATGTTCTCATTCATCAGAAACAACTTAAATTGATCAGACTATTGTGTTATGTAAAATATAATGACAACCAGGAAGAGGAGATGAATGAATGTAACATGTCTCTCAGCTTCTAATACATAAACAAATGAGTAAAAGCTATACAGTGAATCTCTAATTCTTTATTACATAAAAAAGACAATTCTATACCACATGATCTCTTTCAAGCCAATAAATTTACTGAAGTCTTTTCATCTTTAATAAATCAGCTAAAATTGTAATTTTCTCAATTTTAGACCAACTGAGACCCAGCATTTAGAATCAGATATAGACTAACTTTTTCTCATTGTTGAAGGCCGTACGGTTGCCTATAATTGCTTACATCCACTTTATTTGAACTTTGGTGGATAGTTGTCTCATTGGCAATCATACCGCATCTCCTTATTTTTATATTAACTGTTAAAATGTTGTAACATTTCAAAAGTACATGCTTCTTTTGTTCAACACTAGCAATGTTCAGGACTGTATGATGTTTGTAGAAGTTTCAAACTCAATATGATTAAAGGCAACTTTTGTAATGTTTAACTCAAAAAGAATGTTCCAATATATTTAATATTATCAGAGATTAAAAGTATGGTATCCTGACTGATAAATGACAGTAATTTTGTAACTAATATGGATAGAGATCAATTTAATTTCCCCCAAAAAACAGATTAAAATGAAGACAAAATAAGTTTACATAACATTAATGTATAGCCTTCTGTACACTTTTACTGTCATCATGAAACAGCAGTTTACTTCTTACCACACAACTTCTATTTCTTCCCCACCCCCCTTAATTTTAAATAAATTATTTATGGCTTTTTCAAAGTGCACTATAGCAAGCACATAAAAAAAATGTTCTGACAAGTAAACAGTCACCATTAATTCTCATTTCTAAGTTCATTATAAATACTGGAGAAATTTGTGTTTTATAAGGAACACAAAACTCAGCGGGACAGATGACAAGGTAACAATGTACTATGACTTTGTGATTTTCATTACAATAGTTTACACTTAGGGGGTTTAAAAGTAAAGAACTTTGTAAAACATCTGTCTCCCCAGTGTCAATGTTTTGTGGTTTTGTAATGAAGGGTCCTTCATGACCTAGATTTGTTATCTTTTTTTTTTCCATATCCTTGTATCATGTAAAATTTACATTTCCCTTGAAAGAATTGACATGAAGTTTGGCAGATATTTTACATGCACCCTTCAGATTGTTTATGTTGAACTTCTATAATAGGGTTAATGAAAGTATATTGAAAACTAATCCTGTTAATTACTTATGTAGGCTATGTTTTATTATTGGTTTTGATCAGACCTCTACATCTTAGACACACAGACATATCATTTTCATTTATTCATTAAATCTGAACAATTTTGACAAAATACAGTACCCAGGGGGTGCTAAGCAAGTACCCCTAAAATAAAAAATAGCCTCCCCCCCAATAAAAAAAAAAACCAAACAAAAACAAACAAAAACAAAAACTTGTGTTTTGCTCTGCTAAGGTAAGATTATTCTATCATCTTAGCCTCTAACATATAAAACTTAGAAAAAACTATAAATGACTAAGTTGTATTAATTACATTTCCTTACTTTGAAAAAGATGCTTCAATTATTTTCTTCAAATATATACTTTTAATGTTCATCATAAAGATAATAAAATCTTTAACAATAAATGTTATCATTACACTGTAAAGAAAATGTATGTAGTTTTCTATATTGGCCCATCAAACCAGAAAATTACTGTAATTTTGTAAATAAGTATTTATGTAATGGAAAAATGAATGTTAAGTTGACAATAGTGAATACACATTTTCTGAGAGTTATAGGGGCAGCAATACAACACCTGTAATTAGGGCAGATGTTTATCAGTGAAACACCTGAACAGTCACACCAGGTCAGGTGAAAATACAAGGACTGCATTATCTTGAAGAGCAAACTGTGTCAAACATTTCTAATTTAAAATTTCTAAGTAAGTCGGTGACAATAATAAATGGGTTGGCCTCTTCCTGGTTAAACCCACAATCCCACTAAAATACAAAAAGTACATGTTCCCGCCATCACCAATCACCTGATCAACATCCATTTAGTAACCAAAATTAACTTCTCCGAAAAAAACAAATAGAACAATGTAACATTGTTTGTCACTTAACCGATTTCAATTTCTTAGTAAAATTGATTAAAAAAAAAAATAATTTATATAAAAACACATTGAAAGAGTAATTCTTATAATACCAAATTTAGATGATGTATTGTCATTGTAGTTTCAATGTTAAACATTTATTGTTAAAGATTTTATCATCTTTATAATGAACAATTCATCATTCATTTTCATCATAACCATAACAACAATTTCTATTACATGTTATACATCACTTTTTAATTAATTAAAGGAAAACATGTAGCCTCAATTTCTATAAATCTTTGCTCTAATTTCTTACAAATGAATGCTTTGTAAAAATTTAATATTAAAGAACTCTAATCACATCTTTGTCGCACAAAACTTTAATTTCTTTTGCTTTTAGCTATTTTTGTAAATCAACTTTTGTGATGCAAACTATTTTTTACATGGGTCTCAAAATGTAGATGAAGGACTTGTTTAGAAAGTTTTTATATGATATATATCAGTTTACTGACAAATACAAAAGGTTGGTCCGCTATCTTTCCTCCGCCACTGACATGACTTCAGATTAATCAGACACCCAATGCATTTATTACATTTTAAGGAGAGGCTGTTTTTTTTTTGTATTTTACTTCCTCATGTAGACAAATCTAGCTAATTATTAATTCATTTCAAGACACAAACCATATAATTTTTAGCAATGGGAATAATTGACATTTCAAATCCAGATAAAAAAAATGTGTTTTGTCTGACATTTTCATCATAACTATAATAACACTTGACCTATTGATAATACTGAAAGCAAAATATCAATAAATCACAAACATGGAGGATAAACCAGAATTGATGATGTCTATAAGTCCAAATATATAACTGATAAACACAAATACAGTGTAATCATCACCAATCAAAACCCTTATTCATTTGCAAATTAACCTTATCTAAATGTCCACTCCTTGATTTTTTTCTGAGAAATATGTTTTGACCATTTTTTTTCAGATTTTAAATGTACAAAAAAAATCTGTGTGGTGAGGTTTTACTGTAGTCAGTATTTGAACATTGTTACATATACATGTATCATACTTATGATTAAGTTTACATAATAAGCTAAGAACTGTTTCACTTTAACTAGTGTTATAATGGAGATATGAATTATCATTACGACCATCATTGTTTGTAGATGTTTTCCCTTATAGAAGACATTTTTGGATGATGGGCAACATCTTTTTGCTTCAATTTCAAATTATCCTTTGTTTTCTGTGAGCGGTTTCATTTTTTTGAATTCTTTTATTTTTTGGAGCATCATTTTACTTGGATTGAGGAAAAACTGTGTTCTAAAGATAATTGATTTCACTGTTTTAACAAATTCTGCTTACAAGGCAATACATAATTTGTATTTTGTTAAACACTCAAATTCATGGTTCATCTGTATCCACAAAACGCATGAAAATCAGTACCAAGAGAATAATTTGTATTTATTAGCACCATATATCATATATTTCTAATATTTTCAAATCCCATCCCCCTTTTTCTGATGTGTTATACATGGATCACTTACAATGTGTAGCTAACCATTCATTGTAGTCTACACTGGGAGGTAACGCAACTAATTTGTAGAAATCTGCATCTGTAACTCTTTCACGTACACAACTGTCTTCTAAATATTGTCTCGCTTCTTCTGGAACTGGGGGAGTAGGGGAGTCTTTTGAATTATCTTTCCTCCTCCCCTTCCTGAAAAATAAATAAAAAAATATTCAACTTTTGCATCACTTATATTTAGAAATCATCAAATTTGATTTTGTTGCTAATTTTTTAAATTGTGATACAGGCAAGCAAAATGTCAATTAAAAGAGAACTTCTCTACCTAATTTTATTAAGCATTTAGTGGCTGGTTTAGATAACTTTGGTTGTCCAGATAACTTTATATAAACTTTGCTTTGTCTGCCATACTATCTTGGTCATGTAAACTATCACAAATTTAAACAGCTGTTGTAAAGTTCACAAAAAGATCAATATCCAGTACATAGAACTTGTATACATATACATATTAGTAAATAAGTATCAAATGTGTCTGAATGAGTCTTCTCTCGCTTAACATGCGACCTATTTCATAAAAGTTCTATTAGAACTGAAGCATCTATGACCAAATAATAAAAAAGTATCCTACTTTAACCTTAAATGATCATAAATATAATAGATTATCTGATTACTGTAGATAAAATCAATAGAGTATCACATTATATACAAATAGTACCCACCATATGTCAATAGTTAATGTATATACAATACAAATATACAAGTCACATGTCAAAAAAATGTTATTGATATCTATATAGATATGTATAGTTTAGTTGGATAGTCTGACCTTTCTGTAAAATCTTTTACTTCTCAGTTAGAGGTAAACTGATGAGTTTTATGCCATTTTCTACAAAAAATAGCAAGTTTTTCTTCTAAAGACAGTTGTTTTTTTTTTTTAAATAACAAAATAACCATCTCTAAGAAAGTACTTGAGTGGACCCTCTTTATACTGATACACAAGTTGTGTTTATTCCATAAGAGAAAAAAAAGCAACAGTTTGTGTGTCCCTTTACAGAGTGATTATCTAAACCCCTCTACTTTACCAGTACTAATTAAAAAACACAATAAAATATGTAGCTGTCTAAAATTCTCTTAAAACTATTTATTATAATGTCTAAATACCACACTGTCTTCTAAAATATAAGAAAAACCAATCATATTCATGTAAATTTTGCATTCATCTATTATGAGGTATGGCTACACATCAGAATTGCTTTTTTAACAGCATTACATAGAATGTGAACCAGTAACTTTTGTAATTCAAATTAATAGATTTTTTTCCATTGTCAAAATATATACATGTTATTTGTTCTGATGTTATTTAATGTAAGGGATCAATGAATCTCATTCTTTGGTTGTTCTTTATATTTTTGATCTTATTTACACAATGACTAAACAAGTTCCTTTGTTTAAACATAAACTTATTCAGGCTTATTGATGTGCTTCTGTTTTTCTGCTAAAGCACTAAGTAACATTCGGAACTCTGTCATAATTTTACAAAGAACTAGACACATCAAAGATTTAGGTACTTTTAAACCATTTATAAGATTCTAAATTTAAACTTAAATTTACATGTGCATAGATACATGTATATGACTCAAATTTCCTTGTTGAAAACCTGCAACCTGTAACTCCTAACTACAAAGAAATACATTACTTCCTTTTTAAAAGTTTATTCTTGCAGATAAATATAAGGCTGTTTAAGATTAATACAGAAGGCATGAGAGTTTCAGAAAAATAGGGTTTACCAAAGTTAGTCAGGTAGAGTAGATTTTGAAAAGAAAACCACAAAGAAAATTGAAAGAAACAAGAAAAAAATGAAAATTGAAAGAAACAAGATAAAAAAGATAGACACTAGAGACAAATTACAAAAACAGCCATTATTCCTATCAACTCTTTCCTACTTTTCCGTTCATTAAATCCATGGACAATGAACCCACTGTAGACAAAACCAGTGAGTGACATTAATTCATTAAGTATATTGCCATTTATGGCAAATAAATGTCTCAAATACATAACAATATTGTCCAAAAACACGACTTTATCAATTAACGTAATTCATAAACTTGTCAATCATAAACCTAATTAATCTGTCTCTAATTAAATGCACAATCAAATTAATGCATTTGTAATTGTTTTTCAATAATGTATTTTTACAACACGGAAATAGAGCCATATCAAAATGGACAAGAGGTAAATTGGCAACAAAAACTGCTGAATAGGCAATTTTATATTACGAGACCTACTGCTGTCGGAAGAATGCACAGCAATATATTACTGTAATGACAACAATGGTATGAGAGAAAATCTGTTCAATACATACATGTATTAATTGGTAGGAACGATAACAATCTCAATTATAAGTACATGTACCTACATGTATTATGGCAGTCAGAAAAACAAGCCCGTTAACTGATGAGACTTGCTGATTAAACCATTTTAAGTTTTTAAGTTTTATTGTTTTGCCTAATGTCCAGTGGCAGATATTTCATGTACGTTCCTGAATATCTTAAAAGTTTGTTTGATTGCTTAATTGTTGTTTACTTAATATCCAGTGGCAGATATTTATGTACATTCCTGAAGATTTAAAAGTATGATTGATTGCTTGATTGTTCTTTGATTAATGACCAGTAGCAAATATTTCATCAATATTCAGTTATATTTTTCTATGGTTATTGCCCATATCCCTTAATGGAGGAAAAAAAGAATAGACATAGTAGTAACGAAACATAATTCCAAAGGCTAAAAATCAAAATGAACTTGGACTTTCTTTTTGAGAAAATACATTTATCCTTGAAAGAATGAAAGGTTACTCAGACTAAAGCACATCTAACAGAAATAGATGACATTTTTTGTTTATAACAAAAAACTTAAGCTATTGAATTGATATTCATTCAAATGCCAGTTTTTATTTTTCATTTCTGGAAAATATCATTAAAACAATTTTGTAAAGCAATCTGCTAATATTACATAATGTTTAAATATTTTATTGGCTAAAGAGAATGAAGATATCTAGAGTGGTTTTCTATGTAAAATACTTCACAACCTCTCAAAAACATACACTAAAAAAGACATTTCCTTGTGAAAATAATGGAAAATTTATTTTGCAGTTGAAATAAATTGATGGTTTTCGGAGAATAAGCTATTTCTATTATCCTATTAAGAGACCACTTGACAAAAATAATTCAATATCTTCTTTGAGGAATAACACTTCTGGGGAAAACACAAGGAAACGAAGAAACAAGCTAATGCCGCTGAACAAATCTGATCTTAAAGCAGATTACCAAAGTCAACAAGTAGATGGATATACGCTTGACCAAATAAATAAAATAATTTTCCTCCAGATTATAATAAAACATGTAAATTCATGCATAAAAATCATCAAAAGTAGATAATATGAAATAGACATGTATTTAAACATTATATTTATGTATAATAATGATTATATACAAGATCAGTGACCTTTGCCCTTAGGGCACACATCTGGGGTCATGACCTTGGTCAGTTACATATTATTTTGAAAAGTGACCATAGCTATATAGTAAACTGACCTACACTGTAAACAAGTTGTGTACACTATAATACCACTTGACCACTTCCAAAAAGTAAATACTGGTCAATCTTTTGTCCATCTAAAGTCATCTTCAAAGAACTTATCTAATTTGTAACTCTTTGAACAAACCCTATATTATCTATGAAATTCTCTTTGTATAAAGACTCAACAGCTTCGTAATTATTTGTTTCTTATACTCTCCTTAACAACTAATCTGACTTTTGATTTTTTAGTATCCTTACTAACTTGCTTTCATCTATGATATTGGTGGACAGACTCATTATATAACTTATTCTAATCATTAGACTTTTTTCTTGATGTTTTTTACTTGATGCAGGGTAACCACTTTCACTTATATCACATCTGTTAACCCTTTTCACTACTACTGACAAGATAATTAAATTGTTAATTAGAAAACATAAAATATTTCTTTCTTCACAAATCAATACATCATAGCTTCAAACTTCTACAAAATAATTATATTTGGTCTAATTTTAACTAAAATCACTAAAGTAATGAATCAATCCTGTAACAAGTAAAAGTCACATGTACTTTTATCAATACCAGCAATAGATATATATAACTTTATTCCGATTTTCTTTAAAGAAAGCAGATTCTAATATTTTTGTTATTTTAAACAGAACCAAATATATGATACTTAATCAGTTAAGTAATTAAAGGTAGGGAAAACAAATTCTACATAAATAATATCCAAACAAAATAGCTTCAACCTTAAATTTTTTTTCTTAAACTCTGTATCTTTAGTTTTATAAAAGGCATGTGCTGTATTAGACCTTTGATCACAACATTTTGGCAAGTTAACATAGTCCTTGACAAATGCACTCCATGCTAAGTACTGTTACCAATTTACAGGTCGACAGTGTTAAGTCTTGAGAACTTTTATATATAAATGTACTTATACTCAAGTATTGTGTCATAATAAATCAGAAACAAGACCGTTTAACTAAAGTAAAGATTATTATCATGAAAATAATATTTTATACTCCTTGAAGAAACAAAGACACTTATGGTTCATAGCCGTTCTCAGGAAGTACGAAAACAATAATCAGGAACCATATTTTCTAAAGTTTCAACAGGGCGGTTAATTATTTTTATTTTTGACTATTTAACCATCATGATGCTTCTTTTTCTTTAATATGTTTTTAAGTAATAACTGGACTTAAAATATTTGTAATTAAACAATCTTTTGGATTTCAGTTTATAATTATTTCATTTGACCAATGATGCAAAAAGGATCACAAGTTTTACCAACTTATGAAGTCTTTTCCAGAAAAACAACAGAAATAATGTTATCAATTTGGGAAACAAGTAGAATACACAAGTTGTACTTGAGAAAAGCGTGACGAAAAATTTTATAAGTTCTTCAACATATTGGAAAAGTTGTACTTGAGAAAAGCGTGACCAAAATTTTATAATTTCTTCAACATATTGGAAAAGTTGTACTTGAGAAAAGCGTGACAAAAATTTTATAAGTTCTTCAACATATTGGAAAAGTTGTACTTGAGAAAAGCGTGATGAAAAATTTTAAGTTCTTCAACATATTGAAAAAGTTGTACTTGAGAAAAGCGTGACGAAAAAT